TACCCTATGTCCGCTTGTCAGGCCTTCTTGTTTTTCCGTGTCTTCCAATTCCCCCAAGCTTCCCCCTTTCCCCATGCTTGTCTAATACCTCCTTGAATCCCCATATTCCCCTGAATCCCCACATCTCTCCATTACATGTCTCACTAATTCACCAGGTTTGTCTGTTTCCTCCTATCCTCCTCCTGATTCCGATCCACATGTCCCCCGACTTCCCCAACCTTCCCCTTTTCCCCATCCTCTCTGGTTTTACCTGTTTTCCTCCTTCTTTTCCCATCCCCCCAGGCTTCCCTCTTCCTCATTCTCCTCTCTTTTCACATGCTCCCCGATTTCCCCAAGCTCCCCATTTACCTCATGTTTGTGTGTGAGTTTGCGTGTGTGTACGTGTTGCAACCGATTCAACATTCTGAACATGGAAACCCTCCTCAATATCACACTGGTTGGCACCATGCAAATAATTTAGGTACCTAGAAAATAGTACATAATTTATTTGACAGCATCTGTTGTCAGCTGCAACCCGCAAGTCACTGGTGTATCATGATGGTAGAAGTATGCTAGAATGTCAAATGTTATAGCCTTTAGTGGGTCATGCTATATGGGGTACAAACAGTTAGGGTTAGGTACTTGTACCCAACAACAATCATGCAACTCATTCTGCTGTGCTTAGTTTCTGAGATGGTATCAGCAGTAGGTTCGCCATTCCTAGGACTCACCTAGTCGTCGCCGTTCTCGACCTAGGCCGCCTCCTCCCTCCGCGTTTGCCTAACACGTCTTAGCCTACGCCACGCCAACGCGCCACGACATCGCGCCACGTTAGCACACCGCGCTGCCCGCTAGCGCACCGCGCCCACCCGCCCGTTAGCGCACTGCGCCGCCCGCCCGTCGACCTGCAGCGCGGCCCGCCCGCTAGCGTGCTAGCCAGCAGGCCTGCAAGCGAGCTAGCCAGCAGGCCCGCCAGCGCGCCCCGCCAGCGCGCCACACCAGCGCACCCGCCAGCGCGCACGCCAGCGCGCCCCGCCAGCGCGCACGCCAGCGCGCCCGCGCCCCAGCGCGCTCGCACGCCAGCGCGCACGCCAGCGCGCACGCCAGCGCGCCCCGCCAGCGCGCACGCCAGCGCGCCCCGCCAGCGCGCACGCCAGCGCGCCCCGCCAGCGCGCACGCCAGCGCGCACACCAGCGCGCTCCGCTTGCGCTTGCCAGCGCGCCACGCCAGCGCGCACGCCAGCGCGCACGCCAGCGCGCCTCGCTAGCGCGTTAGCACGCCAGCGCGCCCCGCCAGCGCGCCGCGCCTATTGCCGGGCAGCGCACTGCGCCGCCCGCCTGTCCACATGCCGCGCCACCTACCTGCCTCCATGCCTCCACGCCTGCTCACGCGTTACTAATTGTCTCCCCCTCTTGCGGCTGGCAGCCGCGCGCTCTCAGTTTCACCCTCTATGGCGACCTCCCGAGTACTTCGTTTCGACCCTGAAGGGCCACCTTAAGATTTTAGCACGTGGCTTACGCAGGCGCAGCGCCACCTTAAGAGCCAGCGGCAGGATGGCGTGCACCTGTTCGCACACGCGTCCGGCATTCAGACAGCCCCTCCATAGCCTCAGCCGCTGCTCACGACTCCACCGCCTACTTCTGAGCAGGAGGCCGACTACCAGCGCCAGCTCCTCGCTCGCGACGTGTGGGAGTCTCGTGACGCCGCTGCCTCTCTCTCGCCCTGACCGACCTTCTCCCGCCGACAGAGGCAGTCCACTTCGCTCAGGTCGAGTCTGCTGCAGATCTGTATAAGGCTATTATTACTCGCTACAAACACCACTCCCTCCTCTGCTTCGCTCAGTCGCCTCCTCGTACCCTTTATCTACCCTGACCTCGCCTCCTTTGAGACTGTCTCTGACCTCGCTACCACTTGCGCTCCCTTGACGCTCGCTTTCGCGCTGCTTGCACTGAGGACCAGCTTGCCCTTGCCCCGCCCCCTATGTGGCCACTACCATTCACTGGCTAGTCACTCGCCTCCCTGACCGCCTAGCCACAGCCCGCGATGCGCTTCTTCTGAAGCACCCCACTGAGCTTACCATCGATCTTCTTGAGACTGCTCTCTCGAAGATCGAGAGTAACCTCCGCCCCTCATCCTCGTCTTTTTGAGGGGTGTACGTTTTCCACAGCTTCCCACCTTCTCTGCCTCCCTTGCCAACCCCACGTCTTCCACCTCTGAGGAGACGGCGGCCGTTTCTGTCTCTTGCGGGCAGAAACGTGGCAAGGCTGGTAAGGGAGGCGGGAAGGGCGGCGGGGGTACTGGAGGTGGTGCGGGTAGTGGCGGTGGCGGTAGAGCAGGTGGTGGGAGTGAAGGTGGGGGTGGCTCGGGACCTGACGGCCCTCCTTTCGACGGTGGAGCTTTCACTGGTGGTGAGGGGTCCCAGCAACAGCAGCAGTCGCCTCCCCAGCAGCTGCCACCACCGCCTGGATAGCAGCAACGGCAGGACAGCACAGCAGCAGCAGCGACAGGGCCAGCAGCAGCGCCCGCCACAGCAGCAGCCTCAGCAGTGGGGCCCTCCGCAGTAGTGGGGGGCCCTCCGCAGTAGTGGGGGCCCTCAGCAGCAGTGGAGGTCTGCGGGTCCCCGAGCACTGGCCGCAGTAGCGGCCCCTCTAGTCGGGGACCTCGCTCGGCCGGCCGCGACGTTGGTCCCTGTGAGTACTGGATCCTTACGGGTCCTCGTCGGGACTCGTACTGTGGCCGCCCCGACCACTCTGCTGCACGCTGCTTCAGTCGTCTCGACGACCTCTACCTCTTGCACCACGGCCCCTCCGCTCCCACGCCGCCACGCTGGGGGACACTTCTTACTCGTTGTGTATTGCTGTTTTTGATATGACTATGGATGATGCTAGGTCTTATGCCATGTATGCTGATGTTGACTATAGTGCTCCTGGATCTGTGTACTTGCCTGTACCTAGCTTAGGATCTTTGCCTGTTGCTAGAGTAGGTGCCAGTGTAGGATCTTGTTTAGCTACTAGTACAGGTACTTCCTCCTCGACGGACGCGTCTCTCTCCTTCACACTGGACTCAGGAGCGACACAGTGCTTCTTCCGCGACCGCACGACTCTCTCTCAGCTCCCGACGCCAGTCTCCATATCACTGGCCGATCCCACTTCGGGACCGGTCATTGCGACTCACGCCACTACCCTCCCGTGCCCAGCTGCCCCTTCCGGTTCCCTGACTGGCCTCCACGTTCCTACGTTCTCTAGAAACCTGGTTGGTGTGGGCCCTGTTGGTGTAAGGGCCTAATAAACTCAAGCTATTAAGACTTAATCAAACTTAAAACCTCTCCTCGGGGTCACCTCCAAGGGTCCCTGGGTGCCTGGTACAAGACCAGCCCCTATCCTCGGGTCCGAGTTTGTAGAGAGAGGGATCAAGAAGGACTTAGTCAAAACAGCAAGAGTACCTTGAACGTCGCGCAGCGTGCCATGCAGACCGTCGGTCGGATTAAGCTGAGAATTCGCTATATCGAAGCTCGCTCCAAGAGCTTAAAATGAGCCAAGTTGCCTCGAAAAGTTCTGCCATTACGAAGTTATGGCTCAGACAGCGTTTGCCTAGCGTTGGAGTGCTAGCATACTAGCGTTGACTCGGGTAGCATTCCGCCGTCGAATAGCGCAGAAACGAAATTCCAGCGAGGAAGGAATTCGCATGAATCAATTTGACTATGTTCAGGTACAAACAGAGAAAGATTAAATAGTTCTAGCTAGCAAGGACCTTGGGAATCAACCTGGGAACAACCAGGGATGATCCCAAATAATTCCAAGCAACAGAACCAACCTGGCTGGACAAAATAGCAGGTGGTAGGTTGGTAAACAACCTCTGGTTCTGTTTTTCCAACCTGGGAAAACAACAACCAGGTTCAGGTTCTAAAAACAGAACCTGTTTTGTCTTTGCCCAACCAGCCAAATGCTGGTTCCGCTGGTTTCCCCTGGCCTTGTAGCATGCAGATACAGACAAACAACATCCAACCTTCACCTAAATTGTACCCCTATAGTGCCTTCCCTGCTACACTATAGTTAACCAAGCAAAACAGTACAATTCCGAGTTGGATAGAACTGAATCTGCGCAATCAACTCAACCGAACTGCAAAGCTTCCATCTTGGGTTCCTTTGCGAGCTCGTCCTTTCTGCTTGCACTGTTCATAGCGCATACAATGTTGTGCCAAAGCGCACATTGCGCGAGTACCTGCAAATGCATCAAGCAAAAAATGCGAAAGCAAACAAACACACGAACACACCATTCACACGCAAATGCATTCGCACACGCATACTCGTACAAACAGACGGCAGGATGTCGTGCAATGTGCATTTGCACCCAACACACTCCCCCTCAGCCTGCCGGCTGCATCCCCGTCATTCCATGCTAGTTCATGCTCATTCCACTCATGCGCACACAACGCCAATGAGGCTCATCCGCAAGCCTCTTGGTGAGAAAGTCTGCTGGCTGCTGGTGAGTCTTGATGTAGATCGGATGCACCGTCCCCCTCTTCACCTCCTTACGCAGCCAGTGCCACTTGATACGCATGTGCTTGTTCAGCCCATGAAGCACAGCGTTTCTGGCCATCCCAAGAGCCCCCTTGCTATCACAAAACAGCGGCGTAGCAACTTTCTGCTCCTGGCCAATCTCCTCTAACAGCCTCCTCAGCCAAATCACCTCCTTCACCCCATGGAACATCGCCATGTACTCTGATTCTACGGAAGAGAGTGCCGTCTCCGTCTGCTTCTTGGACCTCCAACTAACAGGTCCTCCCCCAACTACGCAGATGTATCCTCCCACAGATGAGGAATCCTCCTTCTCAGAAGCCCACGTAGCATCGGTAAAGCAAGTGAGAAATAGCTTGCCTTCTCCAAGCCTCTCCCCCTTCTCTTTCAGCACCTCCACCCCTTTCTGCTTCACCTGTGCAGATGCGGAGTATTGAACTCCAATGCTTGGGTGAGAGTTCAGGTACTTCACCACACGCTCAGCTGCATCCACCTGCTCCTCTGATGGATTCTGCACCACCCTAGCCAGCTGCCCAACCGAGAAAGAGATGTCGGGCCTCGTGTGAACTGCTGCGTACAAGAGGCTGCCCACCAAGGACTGAAATTGCTGCTGCTCTTCAGCTTCAACCCCTTCATCCTCTGCAGCCTTCACAAGCTTGAATTCTGCTGGCAGGGGAGTTGCAACCTTGCGCTCATTCTCAATCCCATACTTCTCCCCCAGCTCCTTGATGAACTTCTCCTGGTGCAGCTTCAACCACCTGTGATCTGGATCCCTCTCCACGTGCATCCCGAGGTAGTACTTTACCTCCCCAAGGTTCTTGCACTTGAAGTTTTCCATCAGTTGCTGCTGCACTTTCTGGATCTCCTTCATGCTGCTGCTGAAGAGAAGAATGTCGTCCACATAGACCAGAAACAGCACCAGCTTCTCCCCCTCGCCCTTGAGAAAGAGGCTCTCATCACAGCTGCTGGTCTTGAATCCCATCTCCTCTAAAACAGCTGCCAACTTCTGGTACCAGCAGCGTGGCGCCTGCTTCAAGCCGTAGATGGACTTGTTGAGCTTGCACACCCTGCCCGTACCATCCTCATACCCAGGCGGCTGCGTCATGTACACATCCTCCTCTAAAATCCCATTCAGGAATGCCGTTGAAATATCCATCTGAATGATGAATTTCCCACTAACAGCTGCATCTGCCAACAAGACACGGAGGGTAGGGGGTTTGGCAGTGGCAGGCTTCTCCTTCTGCATAAACCCCTTCGCCACCAGCCTACTCTTGTAGATGGTGACCTGCCCCTTGTCATCGGTCTTGATCCTCAGCACCCACTTGCATTGTATCGCTTTCTTCCCATCAGGCAGCACCACCAGATCCCATGTCCTATTCTCCAGCAGACTCTGGTACTCAGCATCCCTAGAAGCCAGCCACTTGTCCCTATCTGGTCCAGCTAATGCCTCCTCCATGCTAGCTGGTTCCTCTGGTGCAGGGGCAAGAAAACAGTACGCAGGCTCATCCTCCTCATCCGGGTCATAGCCATGAGGTAGAATCAGCAATGCCTCTTCGGTCCCTAGCTGCTGCTCTGCTGCATCAGTTCCTGCAGTCAGCTTCTTAGTAGCCATACGGGTACGTCCTGGCCTGGAGACGGGTGTCTCCCATCCCTTCATAACGACACCCTTCGGCTTCTTAGTTTTTCCCTGCTGCTTCTCTCCTCCCTCGGGTCCAGCAGCTCCACTAGTGCTGCCGCCAGTTTCCACACCATTTTCTCCACCAGCAGATGCCTCCTGTACCTTCTCTCCATCACCATTTCCAGCAGCTGCCTCCTCTCCCTCCTCCCACACACTAGGAGTCAGGTCCAGCTGCATGGTGATCTGCTCCATCTGCTGGGACACCCTTGCCTCCGGCTGTTTCTCCCAGCTCCCATACATCATGCCCTCAATGAATTTCACATCCCTGCTGTCAAACAACACACCCTTGGATGGTTCCCACAGCAGCCATCCCTTGCTCTCAGCAGCCAGCCCCAAATGCACACACCAGATTGCACTCGCCCCCAACTTACTGCGGTAGGTCTTGGGGACGTGGGTGTTGGGTGCAAATGCACATTGCACGACATCCTGCCGTCTGTTTGTACGAGTATGCTTGTGCGAATGCATTTGCGTGTGAATGGTGTGTTCGTGTGTTTGTTTGCTTTCGCATTTTTCGCTTGATGCATTTGCAGGTACTCGCGCAATGTGCGCTTCGGCACAACATTGTATGCGCTATGAACAGTGCAAGCAGAAAGGACGAGCTCGCAAAGGAACCCAAGATGGAAGCTTTGCAGTTCGGTTGAGTTGATTGCGCAGATTCAGTTCTATCCAACTCGGAATTGTACTGTTTTGTTTGGTTAACTATAGTGTAGCAGGGAAGGCACTATAGGGGTACAATTTAGGTGAAGGTTGGATGTTGTTTGTCTGTATCTGCATGCTACAAGGCCAGGGGAAACCAGCGGAACCAGCATTTGGCTGGTTGGGCAAAGACAAAACAGGTTCTGTTTTTAGAACCTGAACCTGGTTGTTGTTTTTCCCAGGTTGGAAAAACAGAACCAGAGGTTGTTTACCAACCTACCACCTGCTATTTTGTCCAGCCAGGTTGGTTCTGTTGCTTGGAATTATTTGGGATCATCCCTGGTTCTTCCCAGGTTGATTCCCAAGGTCCTTGCTAGCTAGAACTATTTAATCCTTCTCTGTTTGTACCTGAATATAGTCAAATTGATTCAAGCGAATTCCTTCCTCGCTGGAATTTCGTTTCTGCGCTATTCGACGGCGGAATGCTACCCGAGTCAACGCTAGTATGCTAGCACTCCAACGCTAGGCAAACGCTGTCCGAGCCAGAACTTAGTAATGGCAGAACTTTTCGCGAGGCAACTTGGCTCATTTTAAAGCTCTTGGAGCGAGCTTCGATATAGCGAATTCTCAGCTTAATCC